AAAAAACAAACAAGCCACACAGGATTACCTAAATCCAGCTTTTTAATTAAAGAGGGCAGACAGAGCAGGTGGTAATTTCCCTGGCTACCCTAGTAGGCTGGGCCAGCAGTGCCTGGTGCTGTGCCCTGTGCACTGACTGCATAGGTGTGGTGCAGTGCTGTGTGCACACAGCTGAGTTGCTGCAGGATTTCCAAGGAAATACGGGAGAGAGGGGCTGCAAAAAAAATTGCTGGTCTGATACCTCCCAATATAAAATCATCTTGACTAGGACCAGCTGAAACTGTTTCCTACCATTATTAAGCTAATTGCCTGGAGGAGGGGAGGTAGCCAAGAGCCAGGAGAAAACCAGGAGGGTGCAGTAGTGCCCATGGAGCGATGCAGGCAGTAGTTGTTGTGCTCTAATCTAGGACCTGCTATTCTTAGGAGAGTAGCCACAGGCTGACAGCCACCAAATCTCCATGCTTTCACACTATGACATCACCAATGGCATAAGTACCCCCCTGGGTTGGCAGAGCAGTAGCACCTAGGGCCTTGTTTTCTTTTCTGAGTGGGCTGGGAGCCTCCAGCCCCACATAGTGCTGCTGGTCCTGTGGGGCACCCTTAGGACCCTCTGGGACTCTGAGCACTCCCATCCCAGCGGGCTGCGGCACCATGTTCCTCTTCTCCAAAAAACACAAGACTCCCATCAGCACTTACACCGACTCCTACCGCCCACCATGCTCTGTCAAAAAGACCATCTATGACCAGGGTGCACAGCAGCTCGAGAAAGAAAACAAGTTTGTGACCAAGGTAAATGCTGCGAGAGGAGGAAACCTCAGGGTTTCTACCCCTGCCCAGCTGTGGATGTTGGGTGCTGGGCAGCCGGGTGGTATGGGAAGTCTTAGGGTGCCTTGGTGCATGTGTGTAATGTGGGAAGTGGGGGGAGGGTGTCATGCTCCCTGGTTTGGGAAGGGTTTTGTACCCCATGGCCTGTGCTCGCTGGCTTACTGTCCCCTGGAGCTGCACCCTGCAGTGGCTTCAGGCTCTCGGGGCCTGTGGTCACCAGCACAAGCTCTCATGCATCTGCATTGTCCATCAGTTGGTTTCAGAGTCCACAGGGGACAGGATCTGCTGAGGAAGGGGAAACTGCGGCAGTGCCAGGGCTCGGGCCAGGGCTGCTGTGTGACATGGCGGTGATCAGGGGGGTGGATCAGGTGGCTCTGAGAGCTTCTCCAGCACACAGCCCACAGGCTCAGCTCAGTTCCGGCTGGGGGACCTTCCGTGCCAGGGGAAGATCTGAGCACCAACAAACTCCCCCCAGACATGGTCCTGAAGGAAGAGGGATCCCTGATCACTGTGGGGGGTGTCTGGGGGACATACAGCTTTCCCCACACGGGCTAACAAGCATGCAGGCTCCAATGCAAAGCACACTGCAAACGTTCATCTCTTGCAGCCTCGTTAGCATGTGCATTATAACGAGGAAGCCAGCAGAGGGCATGGAGAGGGATGTCACCGCTGTGCAGGGACAGAAACGGCTCATGCAACCAGGGCACCCGCCTGCCCCGCAAGACCCCCAGCCCTCTTAGGCTTTGCCAGCTGTAGGACATGGGTTTGGCCCTGTCACTCCCTTCTCCAACCCCTGCTGGCCCCATACCCGGCAGTCCCAGTACACTCAGCCCACCTCCCGCTCTGCAGAGCACCTGGATGCCTGTGGGCACCCTGGGTGCAGGGGGAGAGGAGCCAGGGATGC